TATATTGCAGGCACTACCAGATGATTTGAAAACGAAGCTTAGCTTAGATGAAGATCTCGTCTCCAGCCCAAAAGAAGCTCTCTCTCGAGCCTCAGCAGAGAGAGTAGCATGGAGAAATAAGAATTTAAGAAGGTATTTGTCTATCCATTTTTTTCCCTATTGACTAGTCTTGCATTAATTTTTTTGCATAAACAACGGCGTCAAACGATGGATTTTATCAATAAACTGAAAAATATCTCTACATGTCAATAATTACTTGTGGTTCAACGGCATTAATAGAAGGCTGCTTAGTTTTTTTACACTGCTTCCAACCGATGTATTATTGGAAAATATCCTCCTCTAACAAAGAGGGAAAGCAAGAGGAGAGTCTTGCAGGTGAATACTGAGTAGTTTTGTCAGCTCTAATTAGCACACAGCACACAGCACACTTGATTAACCTATGGTTTGGACACACAAATGTGGCTGCAGGATTTACGGGAGAAAAGAGATGAAGAAAAATGATAGTCTCACACTCTCACCTTACTTGTATTCATGCATATTTTGATACACACGACCTTATGTGTATACGTGTCTATTTGTCATTGTGTTTGATGTGTAGGTTGAATAGATTGCTCTCAGATATTGACTTGTTTGTTTAGTTCTTGAACTCCTTATGGTTTGTATATAAGCAAGTCATTAATCTTAAATCTGAAGTTTTATGGAACTTGCATGGATCTCCATCCTTATTGGGAAAACCTCATGAGGGTGGTGTGGGGATGGGTGCGAACTGCAGCGGATGCGATTCTATCTCGTCCTGGAAAAATTCTGTTGTCAAGTCGATTTGTTCTTGATCGGCTTCTTTTTGTTTTTGCAGTGGATTGTCCCATTCGTACGCAAATCACAGAGAGAAAAATCTGTCCAAGATTGATACTGATGGTCAGAGATTTGATGACAGAAACACTGATTCAGCAACATTAGCAAATCAGGTTTTACATTTAGCAACAATGAAATATATTCAAGCTCTTTTCACCATTTCATGGCAATTCTGGAGATTTACCCTTCATGTTTGTTGTCCTTGTTTCATAAGGGAGCTGTTACACATTTATCGGAACAAATATCTACCTTGAATGATCGGATGGATGATTTTACATCTAAAATGGAAGAGCTTAATTCCAAGTTAACCAAAAAAAGAACTTCTCAGAGCACACAAAGTCTGGCTTTGCAAGCCGAAGCTTGTAATGGATCCGGCCCAACTTCTTACTTCATATCTGGTTTAGGAAATGGTTCCTTGACAGGATCCATTATGCCAAATTCATCCTCCTCCTCTTTGCTAATCCCAAAGGAGTCCAATCTGATGGAAGAGGTACATATTTCACCATGCTTTCGCCATGCAGACCTATGTTTAATCAATCATCTTCGTCTTCTTTTATTCCTCTGATGGAATCCATTACTGCAGAAAGTTTGAGAACTAAGTTATTTTCCCTTTGCATTGACCATCTTCACAGCTATCTAACGTGGCACGTGGACAACGCCAAATTATGCATCAGTTAGACAGCCTTAGCAATCTTCTTCGCGAGAGACTGGGAGAACAATCACGACAAGCCAGAACAAGCAAGAGAAGTGATCTAAATTCGATCAGAGTACCTCTCGTTGTGACCTTAGCAGTAAGTGGATTGGGGTTGTTTCTGTTTAGGAGCCGAAACTGATTCTTCTTCCTGATGTAAAAACTATGCTCCTTAACTTTTTTTCTTTCAAGTTCATAAGCCCCATGTAGTAAGCATTTTGCCTATGTTCGATCGGAGTAGAGGTAGACTAGTGTTCATGTGTTTTGGGTTAAGGAGGGCAGGTTTATGCTTTCTATTTCCCAGTTGAGCTTTGTCAAACAAGGCAGCAAGTTGTGGGGTTTCTTTGATTAAAACTCTCTTTTCAATACATATTTTACAAGTTACATTGCAAGTTTCCCTTTGCCTTAGTTTCCAACTCTTCACTATGGAGTTCTCTATTTTTTTAGACAATCAATTTCAACTCAATTCTTTATTTTACTCTCTAAAAAAGAATCTTTTTCTTACTTCTTGATATTGTATTATTATTTCTATCTCATTTTTATTTTCTTATTTCATAATATGGACGTTTATTTCTTTTTTTCAAATAATTACTTTATATAATTCTCATGTGATATAAAATTTATTTTTTCAATTTTCCTATTTAATATAAATTATATTTTATTTTAAATTTTAAATATCATAAATTGCATGAATATATTATATGATATATAAATTAATTAACAAATTCAAATAAAAGTGAAATACGATTACATCAATATTTACTTTTCAAAATTATTATGTTGCTTCCATAAATGCTCTATTAATGCATTACGGAGATCAGAAGGAGCATTTTTGTCCTCAATTTTATTATGTCTAGCTAAAAAATATTCAAAGTGAAGATTTTCATCTACCGCCATTTCTGTTGTTGGAGTAGGAGCCTATTTGACATCTTGAATTAGTGCATTAAGAATACGTTCATCCTAAATTATCACGTTGTGTAGTTACAATACATGAAGTCATTATATCATGTAGCATTTTCTTTTTCCAACAATGTGATGGTCTTGCAATTATTGCAAAACTCTCAATGGACGTTCCACATCTTTTCAATGTGACTCTTGTTTCATCGCGAATTAATATTATGTTATGTATTATATTTTATCTTGTACGGGGTATTTAAATTATTATGTTATGTATTGCATTTTTTTTTAAAAAAATAAATTTTAAATCTTACCATTTTAATTTGTGTAATGTAATTCTTTATAATGAAAATTAATAATAAAATAAAATTTTATTATTGATGAAAATTATACAAAATATATTAATTTGAAATTAAAGTAGTACATATGAATAATATATTTTTAAAAATATTATATTACATTTAAAAAGAATTATGAATATTAGATATTTAATTAATGAAACTAAATGTAAAATAATATGTTAATTGGAAAGTAATGAAAATAATAATAAAATATTTAAAAAGTGACATAGAGAGTGTGTATAGTAGTTCTCCAAATATTCAACTCTCTAAATTTGAAGAATAGAGAGTGATTTGAAGGTGAGTTGGTGCCATTCTCTCTTTTACTCACCAAATATATAAAATGGAGAGTAAAATAGGGGTGGGTTGGAGATGGTCTTATGGAATGAAAAGATATTGTAAGCATTTTTTTTTTATTTTTCAGTCGATAATTCGAGATAATCCTAAATTCATGTTTTCTGGCCCATAAACTTCAAATCAAATAGACTCGTACCACACATTTTATAAATTTTATAGACCAACTCACATGATAAGTTGAAAAAATGATGAGTATCATTTATTAGGTCATCATGAATGGACTCAAAAATTGAGCTCCAAATTGAGTGGGTCGCATATATTCTAAAAAATTAAGGAAAAATTGTATATAATAGCAAACTAATAACCTAAAATAAATAGAGTAGCTAGGGTTTAATTTAACTGTGCTCCATAGCAAACGTTGGCAAAAAATTGCCAGGCGCCTCTCTCCCAAGTATCTCGCTCGCTTCCTCACATTTTATACAAACACGAATGTATAAAAATTGTTTCTAATTGTATAAAGTAGAGAAAATTGCATAAATACATATATTTTTGTTCCCCTCTCTCCCCTCTTTCAGATCTCGCTCGCCACCCTCGCCTTTCTCACTTATACAAACAGAAGTGAAATGTATAAATTGCGTTTCTGTTTGTGTAAAGCGTGAGAATTGTATATACACATGCAAATACATATATTTTCGTCCTATACACTTGTAATTTCCCTGCCCAGTTTCTTTTGTCTTTCTCTCTTTCTCGTTTTATACAATTTTCAAATTGTATCTAATTTCTCTCTTTCTCGTTTTATACAATTCGATTCAATTGTATACTCCTTGTCAAGTCTCTTTAATCTTTCTCTCTTTCTCATTTTATACAAATTCAAATTATATATATCGTTTTATACACTTATAATAATACAATTCGTTTTGTACACTTCGTTTTTATACAGTTCTTTGCCCAAGTGTCTTTTTCTTTCTTGTTTTATACACTTCGTTTTATACAATTTGCTTCAACTGTATATGTATAGCGAATCATACAGTTTCTACGTTTACTATGGAGCGCAATTATGCAAACTTTGCTATAGTATATAAATATGAATTTTTTATTTGCTATATGTGAAAGTTGCCCAAAAATTAGTGGACTGATTAACACAAAAAGTCAATATAATCCTAAATTTCTATTTCATGACTCGTACACTAAAAAAAGAAAAAAAATGATGTATGCCCTTCAAAAACAATGAATATCATTAAAGAAAAAAAATGATGTATGCCCTTCAAAAACAATGAATATCATTTACTAGGTCGTTACAAATAAACTCACAAAAATTTGTAATTAAACAGAGTTAACCACACACATTTCGAAAACTAATAGGTTAATACACATGAAAGTCGAGATAACCCTAAATTCACATTTCAAAAATTAATAAATTAATACACATGAAAGTCGAGATAACCCTAAATTCACATTTCAAAAATTAATAAATTAATACACATGAAAAGTCGAGATAACTCTAAATTCCTGTTTTGTGACGCATAAACTCCAAAAAGAGCAACTAATGTCCTTAAACAATGAATAACATTATTGAATAACCGACAAGTACGTCATCTCTTGTCTAACTTCTCTCCAATACTTCTTCAGCCCGTCTCTACCTTCTCCGGTCCTCACTTCTCCCCAATACTTCCCCACACAACTTCACATAGCCTAAATAACTTTAGCTTCATCCCAACAATATGTATTACTAACATCTTGTATGGTCTCTCATTGGATAGGAACATAATGCACAGACTAGAAGAACCATTCACTGTTGCACTATACTAATGCACTATACTACAGTAAATGAGGATGCAAAAATAAATACCTTCTGCATAACGAGGTGTTATAGAACAGTCGAGCAACGAATCATGCCAATCTCGGGACCAAGTAGAAAAATAACAAACAAGAAGCCCACAATAAACATTAACCACGGATAGTATGAACTTGAGATGACAGAAATGAGACCAAGATAACTTCATATTTTAATAACATATTACACAACAGATAAGTCAAATCATCCACACAGATTCAGTAATCTTCCCAAAACTGATGTCTAGAGTACTATCTAGCCATTCAGATTAACTGGCAAAATATTCGAGCCAAACATCATGGTCCGATTAAAGACCCCTGAAGAAGATCAATAAACGGGACTGTAATCATGTACTAGTTTTCGATGTAGGACACCTCTGCTTTAGGTGATGCACACTGAAATGTTGTTAACTCAGCAACGAGTTTTTTGACTGCAGCAGATCCTTTAACTACAGACGACGTGAAAAGCATTCTCACTAGCATGGGAGAATTGGCTAACAGAAGTTTGGCAAGCTGCATCTCGATGATTGAGCCACTAGCAAGTGTTAGCCTAACTTCCCTTAGGTGATTAAACGTCACATCCGATGAAAATTCTACTTGATAAGCTTCTTCCATATCATATTTAGGATAAGCCTCCTAAAGAAAATTAACTAAACTCATTTCTCTGAACTCTTTGATGATTTAAGTATGAAAATGAAAAAAGCCAATAAGAGAGAGATGCGTACCGAAATATCCATATATTGTAAATACGGGAAGCTTCTAATCAGGCATAGAGCACATGATACCTCAACCGAGTTATAAAGATCAACACTTATGTCAAGTCTTTTGACACTGTTGAGATTAAACGGAAGCCTCTTTGGTACTTCACTCGCTTCTGCAGCAAATAACTATAAAGAAAATAAAAAAAAATCAGGATGAAACGAAGCCGAAAAGATTCAAAATGTGTTACCGTGAAGCCAGGAAGCAACATTTACCATATTCAAGTATATATGCTCGAGAGCAGAAAAAGACTCAAAGGATTCGAAGAACTTCACAATATCCCATTTTTCTTCTCCAAAATAATCTGTGTCGCTAGATGCAAGTAAAAGCTTTGCCAAATGAGGGATATTCTTCAAAATGATAGATCTCACACTGCCTGCGAAGTAAAATGATTTCAGCCTAGGAGCATTAATTTCGATGAGGTTGCTGTAAGTCTCGGCAATATACAACACCAAATGCTCGAGCAACAAGCAATGAGAGATCAAACTTCCCAGATCCTCGGAAGAAATTGAAACTTCACATAGTTCCAACCTAATTAACCTATCAAGTCCTTTGAAGGTCGGTGGACGAACTATTGAGCAATTCTGGAGATTCAAATTCTTCAAGTGCAAGCTTTTGAAAAATGAAGGTGGCAATTCATATGGTTCACTCTTGAATGGAAGTTTAAGCACAAGATCCCGAATGCCATTTTTCGCAAGGAAATATATCAAGTCATCGATCATAGGACAACTTCTCGACTTGGGAACACAGAGAGTAAACTTTGTAATCGGCCCTTCATGAAATATCAAAATATGGTAGATAATCTTGGTAATCGCAGTCGTATGGCATATTAAGTTATTCTTTGTTTTCCAAAAAGCATCATCAAGTGTCAACTCAGGAAGTCGGCACCATTTATATCTCCATACTTTTGATAAGATGCTAGTCCTCACCGCATCTCTAAACGGCAAACACATTAATATAATGTCAATGACATTCTCCGGAAGATTGCTTAGTACATCGAAAGGTAAAGATTCACAACACTGCTTTTTAGCCTCAGGATCCATCATAACATATTCACATATGTAACCCTGTAGAAAATGAACAACAATAACAAAAATGAGTAACATCCAAACTAACTTAAAAGAGCAGGAATCTTAGTGGCTCAGTTGATTCCCCACCTTATAATCCCCTCCCCATTTCTCATTACCGCCTTACCGGGCCCCAATGTGATTAAAAAAATACTCCTAAAAGGGTGTGTTCTAACTAAAATTAATCATGATATACCCATCAGAGAAGGAAAAACACACTAGTTGATTTTTCTTATCTTTCCTAACCTTGATGGACAGAGTTACCTGATACCTGTTCTTGCCGGCGGAAGGCGTTAGGTATCCCATAGAATTAATCAAGTTACCCAAAATTCAGCCCCAAACAACACAATCATTCAAAAAAAATCGCAATGATACACGAATCAATACATAGATTTGTTTATTCTAAAATTAAAATTGGGAAAAATCAAAATAGGAACCCAATTACATTTTGTACACAATTTGCACAACCCTAATCACAATTAAAACCATTTATTTCATAAACTAAGCACACAATCCAAATGGAGAAAAAAAGAAGAAGAATTAATGCTTACCAAGAGCAAAAATTAGTGAATTAGGAAGATCCAAAAGGCATAAAGTATAGTTTTCATCAGCCAAAAGAGAAAATGAGAGAAATGGGGATTTGTAGATTTCACAGGGCGGAGGTTTTCTTAAAATTTAGGGGGAAAATGAAAAGCAAACGGTGTGGAGTGATTAGAGAGTATATATATATATATATAATTATACAAGGGACAATAAAAGGAAGGATTATCCATTTTCCTTTTGAGTCTTTAAAAATGAATAATCTTTTTCTTTTTTAATATAATATTTTAATTTTAATTTTTACACTTGACATGTTTAAGGTCATTGGATTAAAGAAAATTTTGTATATTTGACATAACTTTAATTTAGGACCACTATATTAAAAAATCTTGATTATTTTCTTAAAATTCAATGTCAAGTCAAATTAAGTTATTTTTTATGAAACGAAGAGAGTATGTTATTTACACCAAATCAAATAAACTAAAAGTAATACATAAATATATCATTTAACTTGATTGCAGCTGACATCTACGCACTTCAAATTTGAGATTGCCCAATAAACACTTGATTTATGTAAAATTTAACGAGTAGACAACACGCCCAAATGACATAGTACATGTAGGATGTCACATGCGACACAAATTGTCATGTAGGATGGATATGTCTATTTGTTAAATTTCATACAAATTTAAATGTTTTGTTTGTGCTCACTCAAAGTTGGATGCGTCGTTGTCAGTTGAAACCAAGTTAAATGACATATTTATATATTATGACATTTAAGGGTTAATTTACAAGAATTAGGCAATTTTCACTAATTTCTGTGTGTGTTAGCCTATAATTATTTTGGTGATATAACTTCGGGTCAATTTACTTGTGAAATATGTTAAGAGAGCAGTGCATACAATCTCACCATTATTAGAGTGATTTTTGAGCATTTAAGGGTCAATTTACGAGAATTGAGTAATTTTCTTAGTTTTTTTGTGTGTGTTAGCCCATGAATATTTTGGTGATATGACTTTCATACACGGGCTAACACCAAAATATGTCATTCCACGTATGTTAGCCCGTATATGAAAGTCATATCACCAAAATATTCATGGGATAACACACGAAAATAGAGAAAGTGGCCTAATTCCTACAAATTGGCCCCTAAATGCTCAAAAATCACTTTAAAATGGTGAGACTGTACGTACTAATCCCCCAACTTCTTATGGAGGGTTTCACAAAGATTTTGCAAAAATATCATTTAGAAGCAATTCACCAAAATATGTATTGACTAGCATACACAAAAAATCTCCTGATTTTTGAAAATTGGCCCCTAGACCAAAAATCACTCTAAAATGCTGAAATTGTACATACTTCTCCTACAACTCTCTGCAGAGGGTTTCATAAAGATTTTGCAAAAAAATCATCCATAAGCCATATATATCACAATAATATTCATGGGCACGCGAAAAACTATGAACACCATATAGTTCTTGTAAATTAGCCGCTAGATACCAAAAAATCACTCTAAAATTGTGAGACTGTACGTACTGCTGCCCAAACTCCTTAACGAGAGTTCCATAAAGATTTTGCCAAAAAATCATCCGGAAGCCATATCACTAAAATCTTCATGGGCTAACAAACACAAAAAACTTAGAAAACCACCTAATTATTGTAAATTAGCTCTCAAATGCCCAAAAATTACTCTAAAATGGTGAGACTGCAGATTCTGCTCCCTCAACTCCCTATGAAGGGTACCATAAAAGTTTCATTAAAAAATTCACCCGAAAGCCATACCTCCAAATTATTCAAGGGCTACAACCCTCTTATGAGGTTCATAAAGGTCTTGCAAAAAATTCACCCAAAAGTCTTGGAGGTCCTCATAAAGTTTTTTTTTCACGAAAAAATAAAAAAATTGCGTAACCTAAAAGTTGTTCCCTAAATGCAAAAATAGGCCTTGGAGAATGGTGGGACTATACATAATGTTCCCCTTACTCATTAAAGATTTGCTCATAAAGTTTTTTTTTTGAAAAACCTTTCAGGCGCCAGAATGCGCCAACATCCATGGGTTACACAAAAAATAATTATCAAGAAACTTGTGTAATTCTTAAAAGTTTGTCTCTCTATGTAAAAATATGTCCTTAAAATGGTGGATTATACACAATGCTCCCCAAACTCATAACAGAGGTCCTTATAGAGTTTTTTTCAGAAAAACATTTCAGGTGCTAGAAGACGCCAACATCCATAGGCTAATTCACGCGAAAAACAAAGATAGTCGCGTAATTCCTAAAATTAGCTCATTAATGCAAAATATGTCTTAAATTGGTGGAACTATACATAATATTCCCACAACTAATTACCGAGGTCACCATAAAGTTGTTTCAAAAGAACCTTTCGAGCGTCAAAAGGCGCAAATATGCATGAGCTAATACACAGAAAAACAAAAAAACCCGTATAATTCCTAAAATTTAGACCTTATATGCAGAAATATGCCTTAATAAAAAAAGTAGGACTATATCTATTGTCCCCCCAATCATTACAGAGGTTCTCGTAAAGTTTTTTCAAAAAACCTTTTGAGCGCCAACATTCATGGATTAATACGAACGAAAGAATAAGAAAATCGTGTAATTCCTAAAGTTGACCATAATTGCAAAAATATGCTTTAAAATTGTGGGACTATAAGTAATGTTTGTTGAAAGAAGCTTGACAACTAATGTAACACGTCGAAGGAACACGTCCATTGAAGCAGACTGACGAGTTAGAGTTATATTAGGACTAGACTACTTAATCCTAAGTTATGTACAACAAATTGTGGGACTGTACTTAATGCTCCCCCAACTCATTACAAAAGTCCTTATTAAGTTTTTTTCCGAAGAAAACCTTCTGTGCGCTCGAAGGCGCCAACAACCATGGGCTAATTCACATGAATAGCCAAGAAAGTCGTGTAATTCCTAAAAGTTAGCCTCCAGATTCAAAAATATTGTTGTAAAACATGGTGGAACAATACGTAATTCTCCTCCAATAGATGTCCTAATAATTTTTTTTTGAGAAAAACTTTCCGAGCTCCACAAGCCACCGACATCTATAGACATTAACATATGAAAAACCAAGAGGATCGCGTAATTCCTAGAAGTTGCCCCCTTAATACAAAAATATGTCTTAAAATGGTGCGACTAATCATAATTCTTCTCTAACTCATTATAGAGGTCCTGATAAAGTTTTTTCAGAAAAAACTGAGTGCAAGAAGGCGCTAACATTCATAAGCTAATACAACCAAAAAAACTAAGGAAGTTGCATAGTTCTTAAAATTTGGTCTCTAAATGCAATAGTAATCCTTAAAAATGTACAATATGTTATTCTCCTTCAACTCATTACGGAGGTTCTCATAATATTTTTTAAGAAAAACCTTCTAGGCGCCAACATCAATGGGCTAATACACATGAAAAAACTAAGAAAGACACATAATTTCTGAGAGTTGACCCCTAAATAAAAAAAACACGTCTTAAAAATATGGTGAGACTATACATAATGCTCCCTAAGTCATTGCAGAGGTTTTCATAAAGATTTTTCAAAGAAACTTTTTGGGCGCTAGAAGGTTCCAACATGTATGTACTAATATACACGAAAAACTAAGAAAGTCGTGTGATTCCTAAAAGTTGGTCCCTAACTGGAAAGATATGCCTTAAAATTGTGGGACTATGCATAATGCTCCCCCAACTTATTACAGAGGTTCTCTTAAAAAAAATTTTTTCCAGAAAAACCTCCTTGACGCCAATATCTTGTGTCAATACACACGAAAAATCAAGAGAGTCGCATAATTCCTAAAAGTTGTCTCCTAAATGCAAAAATATGTCTTAAAAATGGCGGGACTATATGTAATGCTCTCCCAACTCATTATGGAGGTCCTTATAAAAATTGTTTAGAAAAAAACTTTCTGGCGTTAGGCGCCAACATCCATGGACTAATACATATGAAAACCAAGAAAGTCGCGTAATTCTGAAAAGTTGATCCTAAATGCAAAAATATGCCTTAAAATGGTGGGATTCTACGTAATGCTCACTCATTTCATTATGGAGTTCCTCATAATGTTTATTCAGAAAAACCTTCCGGGCATCAGAAGGCGCTAACATTCATGGGTTAATATATACGAAATATCAAGGAAGTCGCGTGATTCCTTAAAGTCGACCCTAAATGCAAAAATTTACCTTAAAAAATGACGAGACTATATATGATGCTCCCCTACTCATTATAGAGGTCCTCATTATTTTTTCCAGAAAGCATCCATGAATTAATACACACGAAAAACCATATGGATTACATCGTTAATACTGTCCAAAAATAAGGTGCAATATCAGTTTTTTTCTCTCTTGATATGAATTGTGTATCTATCAATAATTGAATTTATTAACAAAGACATTTTTTCTCGATAATGCTTTTTCCATTTATATTTTATTATAGGGTTAATAACATTTTTAGCCCCTTAGTTATTGGTAAATTACGACACTTAACTTTTAGTTATTTGGAATGTGCACTTTTGATCCCTTTACTTTTGAATAATCACGAACTTTCTAAATATTAATCCTTTTTACCATTTAATCACTCATATATATAATTCTCAAGTTTAAATTACATATTTCCTAAAAAACATTGGACGATAACGCACATTTTAATTAATTAAAGATCAACTTTTTTGAATCTCATATCGCACCGACTAAATTTAGAATATATAAATTGTTTATAAAATTTTAAATAATTTTAAATTCCTAAATATTAGGTAAGAAAATTTATAAATAAGAATTTTTATACAACTCAAAGGCCAAACATTCAGAATCCTAAAGGGCACTACGCTGCTTCTCTCTGCCTATTTCTTCAAACGGAATTTAATTGTAAGTTCTTTTTTTCCTTTGTCTAATATTAGTATATATAGTTTATCTTGTTATTCTGTTTTTATTAAACGAAAACGATCTCTTTACCTTTAGGAGTAGGATCCGAACCCATTCCGATTGAAAATTGCCTTGTATAATCTCTTGACTTTTAAAATTTGGTTTTATACATAACTTTTTAGTTGTTAGGTATATTATAAATACTTATTTCAAAATAGTTGTCAAAAAAAGAATAGAAAGAGAATTAATTAAAATTTTCTTATAGTTTGTTGTTAATCTCTTACTAATTATCATGCACATATTTTTTAAAAATTTATTATTGATTTTATTATAATTAAAACTTGTACATAATTAAATTTATAGTTACTTTTTATTTCATAATTGCTCTAATTCTCTTTAATTTGAATCAATCATGTTTTAATATTTGTTTTGTAAGATTGTGATGTTTTAGTAAACATTCAAGCTCAAACTAAAACTAACTAAAATTAAAATTTCAAAAAACAATCAAGTGTGAAGACTTAATTTTATTTTAAACGGATTTTAGAATAATCTTTATAATTTATATAATTATTGATTCTATTAAAAAAGTTTTCAAAACTATCATCAATTAGAGATATTTAAACATTTGTCTTACTATGTAATATGTACAATAATTTATATATGTTATAATTTTCTCACAAAAATATTAGCAATGTTATAGTGTAAATTGAAAGAGAAAGGTTAAGAATCAAATTATAATCAATTACAATATTTTTTAAAGAATTTATGAGAATGAAATGTATATAATATTTAAATAAGGGATAATGCCCAAGTACCTCTTCAACCTATGCCTTAAATCTCAGAGACACACTTATACTATACTAAGGTCCTATTACCCTGAACTTATTTTATTAATAATTTTTTACCCCTTTTTAACCTACGTGACACTATCTTGTGGGCCCAACGATGGTTGACTTTTTTTTTCAAACAAGTGTCACGTACTAATTCAATTTAGAATTGACGAGGGAAGCCATATACATATCCAATTCTAAATTGGATAAATTTTATGGAAAAATTGGGATTCGAATATATAAAAAAAACCTATTTTAATTTTATGTTGTTGTATAAAAGGTGAAGAAAAAGTTCCATAGCAAATTTATTATGAGAAAAAGCTTCACCAAATCAAGAAAAAAATATCATTGACAAGAAAATTATTTTCTTGTTTCGTTTATTATGGGTTTGAAATTTTTAAGATTATAGTATATCTATCATTCATCCAATTTTTTCGCGAGTTTCATTAATGGTGGGGTGGATGCACATTAAGTCTTCTTGCTATTGAAGAAATTTTGATTTACGATTCTCGTTATCATGTTTGTCTTGAAATTGTGCAAATAAATTTTACATACGTAAAATTCGACTTTATATTGGTATATATAGTATTTTGAACACCCTAAAATACCAAAGAAACCGTGCTCTAGAGCACACCATTACCCCGGTTCGAATCCTTGCTGGCGTATTTCTTTTTTTTCTTTAATTATTGAGGCTTTCTTGAATTTAATAATTAAATAAACATGTGAAACTCTTATATAATTACTTGTATTGACATAATTGGACACCCTTCCTGAAAATTCTGGCTACGGTATATCTCCCATGCGTGTTATGAATATTGTGCAATACCACTACCTAGTTTGACAAATATTCCGTTTATTTTTTTATCCTAATCTGGTTGTTGTAAATAGTGGCGGAGCCAAAAATTCAAAAATATATGTATATGGCCAAAAAGAACATATATATATATGGCATAATACATATATTGGACCATAAACTTGACTTCAAATTTTAACTTTGACCTCCAACTTTCACAATGCACAAATAGACACTTTAACTATTCAACTTTTAAATAAATAAACACATGAGTCCTACATGACACAATACACGTAGGACACCACATAGGACAAAATATGATATGTAAGATGACATGTAGGACATATGTGTCTATTTGTTCAATTTTATACAAATTTAAGTGTTTATTTGTGCACATCCAAAGTTGAAGGGCATAAATGTAATTTGAAGCCAAGTTAAAAGGTACATTTATGTATTATGCCTTTATATATAGTAGTATAATTTTTATCGAAGAGGGTTCAATCGAATCATGTCACGTAGATTAATATAATGATGTTTTTTCTGCAGATTTTAATTGGTGATACAATGTTTTCCAAACATGCTTGTCAAAGTGTACCTCTGGATGTACTTAGTAGCCTTCCTGATAACGTAATCGATGAGATTCTTATGTGTTTGCCTTTACGAGAAGCTGTTAGGACAAGCATCTTATCGACGAAATGGAGATATAAGTGGTGCAGAATACCTGATTTGAAACTCGACTATAAGCTTTGGCAATCAAAAGTGGACAAGAGGAGTGTTTTAAAAAAATTTACTAAAATCATCTATCATCTTGTGACTTCTCATGATGGACCAATTTCTAAGTTTATCCTCTCGATTCGTGGACTTGAAGATAGTCCTGTGCTTGACAAGTTGATATATTTCCTCTCTAGGAATAGTGTTCAGCATCTTGAACTTGATATCTCTGGATACTACAAACATAAATTGCCTTCTTCAATTTTCACTTGTTTGCGATTGATGCATCTAAGCCTCAGTGGTTGTTCAATACAACTTGCTCCACGGAACTTCAAAGGTTTTGATACGTTAATTTGCCTGGAATTAAGGAACATGACAATTTCTTCCAAAATACTTGAAAATTTGATCTCTAATAGTCCATTGCTCGATACCTTAATGTTGCATCAAAATGTTTATTTTGGTATCATTGAAATTAATGCTCCCAAGCTTCGAGCCTTTGAATTCAACGAAATGGAAGGGTCTATATGTTTAAAAAGTACCCCTAATCTTCAAGATCTCACACTTTGGCATAAAAACTATCATGTGGGGAGCAGAAATCATTTCAAGTCTTTCTATCATCTCGAATATCTGGTGTTGAATGGCCATAGTCTCAAGGTATATATACGTAAATGTGCTTTTATTACTTCATCGAGCATTTTCATTGATGAAATATGTTTGAGTCATTTTTTGTATTTTCGATCTTCATTCATAGGTTTTGGCTGTAGCAGCTGGTGAAGTAACAACAAGGCTTCCGTTTGATCTTAACTCTCTCAAACAACTTTGCCTAGATGAGATTTATCTGCGTGAATTAGATGTTGTCTCGAGTGCTGTTTTCTTGATTAAAAGTTTCCAACACTTGCAAATATTGGAAATACAGGTTCTTAATCAATTCATTTCTCTTTTATTTTTCGTAATTTCTTAAGTTTAGAGAGTTGAATTGTCGATTTATCTTTCTCAGGTTGAAGATTATGATAACGATATGTCAGCACTACAATGTCTTGAATTGGAAGCTTTCTCCGATGTGAAATTTAATCACCTTAGGAAATTTGAGCTAAGTTGTTTTACAGGCTCGGACCGTGAGATGCAACTTATCAAGCTTTTGTTGGCCAAGTCTCCCGTATTAGAGAATATGCGAATCCATCCCTTGCCAGATTATGATAATGCTTCTGAAAAACTCAAAAACGAAATCCCTGTATTGCTAAATACACTTCAGCGTGCATCACCTCAAGTGGAAGTTGTTTATGTTTTTGGTAGCTAATGAATGAGAATGCAGTTGATAGTAGTGTATGGCTCTGTTTTTGCCCTGTTTTACTGAAATATATTTAGTATAGACAGTTGTGGTTGCAAGATATATTACTCCCTTCGTCTCAATTTATATGACTTTCGTTGTTTAATACTTCCTCCACCAGCGCCCTTGAAAGGATTTGATAGGTTAATTGGCTTGGAATTACGTGATGTAATCATCTTTTCCAAGTTGTTTCAAAAAGTTCTGATGTTATCTTTTCTAACTATATATATGATAAGGAGTTTTATATGTGTAACAATTGATTTCAAATGTATTGTATCATGTACTATTTCATCATCAATATTGTTTTTTTAATCGTATACCCAATTTCTTCTAAACTCTAAACCTCTGAATTTGTGTCATTTTCACCTGGATAATTCGATAAGTTATTGACGTCCATTTTATTGCGGTAATTAATCATGACCTCAAGTTCATGAATGACGTTTTCAAAAGCGGGTTCATTAAAATTCTCTGAGATTTCATCCTCTCGAGCAAATTTTTTAGTATCGACAACAATTTGTTGTTGTCTCTTGTTGAACACTTGTTGTCCAAGTTGGAATTGCATTCAAAATATTAATCTTTCGTGGATCGGTTTCATATCTCCACTTCATAGCCTTCTAATATCCTACAGTAAAATTGATTGTGATAGTACATCTTGAAAAATTTTAATATCCCAACATCAGAGGGTTGAATCTCAAAACACTCTATAAATTAGTAATTATTAATTTATCGATTAAATAATATCTCTACAAAATAATAATATTACATGGCACCGACTATATTAATTTAGTGAGGTTTTATTGTATTTGTTTTTAACTAGTTTGTTTCAGTGATGTTTGACACCCAAGCAGATGTGCCCTCGGCCTAATAGCTTCGAGCACAACTTGAGTTCAAAGACACGATGGTTCAAAGGATTGTGCAATTCACACCAAGTATCACATTTCGCAACATTTTTCATCGATGAGAGAGCCGAGATATTCGCTGTCGAGAGTGGTTTGTGTTTCCAGAGCAGCACACATCCCCCCATACTCCGCGAACAAGGCGCGGGGGGGGGGGGGGCTGTCAATTTTAATATTTCTTGGCGCTTTCTGCACCAGGGTTGGTTGGTCGCCTGATGAGTGCGCGGGCACGCACGCCGGGGGACGGAAGGGAGGAGCACGAGCGGGGCTGCTTTTTCTCAAAGTTCGATGACATATTTGAGCCTTGTTCCTTTTTTAAAAACATTTTAATTAATGACATGACCATCATAATTGACCACGTGAAAAAAATGGAACTATTTTTAATTGACAAATAATGATAAGAATGAGTCTTATCTCAAATAGAAATGACATAAATAAAATAAATTTTTACGGATAACATAAATAAGTCTTTTGCCAAAGTTCGATGACGTATTTGAGCCTACTTTCTTAAAGAGTGTGTCAAGCTAACCCGAAACCTATGGGGTCCCACACTAGTAAATTGGAGTTTTCTATTATGATTAGAAAATTGAATACGTGTATTATATATTTGATAGTAATAAATAATATTTAATTATAAGTATTCACTTATCACTAATTACTTGTCTACTTTTGGATCAACACATATATTACAAAATCAATGATTAACATATTAACTTTACTATTTTACCTTTATTAATTATGAAACAAATGAATTAAAAATTTAAGATTTTCAAAAAGTTCAATCTTTTTCAATAATTAATTAAGGGTATAACAGGTAAAAAAAATTGTTCCATCTTTATTTATCAAAATGAGCAAATAAAAAAGAAAAATTGGACAAATAATTAAAAACACATAGAGTAATAAATATAATGTAATATAATATTAATATATACCATCCAATTTGGAATAATACAGGGAATCCATACACGTATCCAATTCTAAATTGGATGAATTTTATGGAAATTTGGGATTCGAAATTCCAATAATATTATAAATAATAATAAAAAGCTAGTTTAACAGGTTTGTCTTGAAACTGTGTAAATTTTACGTACACATGAATGTATTTGTCCAGGGCGGAGACTTTATATTGTTATATATAGTATTTTGGACACCCTCGTGCTCTAGTTGGCTAGAGCACACCATTGCCCCTCCTGGCTACGCCACTGTATATGTCCCTGCGTGTGTTATGAATATTGTGTGAAATACTACTAGCTAGTTTGAAATTATGACAAATATTTGGTTTATTTTTAATCCTAATCTGGTTATTGTAAATAGTGGCGGAGCCAGGAATCCAAAAATATATCTATATGGCCAAAAATAACATATTTGCCTATGTATATATATAGTAGTTATGGAAGAATTGAATCCCTCTACCTATTTGAGTTTCTAAACCATATTATGATAAAAAAAATTAAAATAAATTTGTCTGTTGATTATAAAACTTAAAAGCAGACACTTATACAGTAGACACACATGTCCTACATGGCATAATACACATAGGACACAAGATTGTCATGTAGGACGATTGTCTCTATTTATTCAATTTTATACAAGTTTAAGTGCCTACTTGTGCACACCAAAAATGTTAAGGTCATAGTTGTTCGCTAACGTCAAGTTAAAGGTTATGTTTATGTATTATTGTGTTAATATAATGATGTTTACTTTCTGCAGATTTTAAACTAGTTTTGGAGATCACTCACCTTCCCATGATTGTTTATTGTCTACGTACAGGTTCTTATTTGAGAGAATATTGTCATTTATATGATGCTTTCTAAGGAAGAAAAAGAACTTTGTAGTGCTACTTTACCTTCTGATATACTTAGCAACCTTCCTGAGAATGTACTTGATGAAATTCTTATTCGTGTGCCTTTACGAGATGCTGTGGGGACAAGTATCTTATCAAAGAAATGGAGATATAATTGGTGCAGACTTCCGGGGTTAACGCTTGATCAAACACTTTGGGATACAACAAATAAGTCAATACGCTTTGTAACTAGGTTTACAGACATAATCTACCACCTTTTGGCACTTCACGTCGGACCAATTACAAAGTTTATCCTCTCTGATATTGCTAAACTTGGAAATTACTCTAAAATTGACAATCTGGTACTGTTCCTCTCGAGAAATGGTATTCAACATCTTGTTCTTCAATTCCCGAAGAACAAACCATACAAATTGCCTTCTTCATTTTTCACATGTTTGCAAATGAGACATCTGAGTCTTCATCATTGTTCAATTCAGCCTTTATCTACCTTCACAGGATTTAGTGAGTTAGTTAAACTTGAACTGTATGAAGTCACAATTTCCTCAGAAATGCTTGGAAGTTTAATCTCTCATAGCCAGTTGCTCGAGAAATTGGTACTGCATATCTCAAGTAGTTTAGACCACATTCAAATTGATGCTCCAAAGTTGAAATCCTTTGATTTCACAGGCAACGTAGAGTTAATATCGTTAAAGAAAGTACCCTTTCTTTTGGAACTTTCACTTTTTAATACAGAAGTACCATCTCCGGGGACAGGACAACATGATTTTACCAAGTATTTTGAATCTTTTCCTAATCTTGAGCATCTCCACTTGGATTATCGTAGTCTCCAGGTAAACATTGCATCATGTCCCATTGTGTGGGGTTGACTCAAACCGTTTGAGTGTTCTTGATTTTTTTATGTTTCCTTTTTAGTTATTGGCTGCAGGATCATATGACATAGCAACAAAGCTTTCCTCTCCTCTTAATGGTCTTAAATGTCTTTGCTTATCCGACATTTGTTTGGATGAATTAGCCGAGCTTTCGCCTGCTCTTTGCTTGATAAGAAGCTCCCCATATTTGCAATATATTCAAATAAAGGTGCTAATGAAGTTTAATTTCATTTTTTATTTAAGGTTCTTCGTATGTCATGACTCTCTTATGTTTAATCTCATTATATTTTCAATTTAAGTTCTGTAGTAATGATTTTCCTCTATCTTTTCTAGATTGATATTCTGGAGTTGCTACCTGTGCGCGATGATGTTATTAATGAAATTCCTTCAAGTTTCTCAGATGTGACATTGCGTCATCTCAGGTCTGTTAAGTTTGAAGGTATTACAGGCAAAAGGCCTGAAATGGAGCTTGTCAAGCTTCTGTTAGCTAAATCTCCGATGCTTGTGAGAATGCAAATCCAGCCGGACATAGAAAATGGATCTGTTGAAACAAGACTGAAGGTACTTACAGAGATAACAAAGTTTCCGAGGGCATCACCTAAAGCACAAGTTGACTATAACAGTGGTGTTTGATCTCTAGTCCTTTATCAGACCCTCTTATTGGTGCAAGTTTTTGTATGCTAAGATGAAGTGATGCAGTAGCATATGGATTTGTTTTGCGAACATAGTTTAGATTTTTTTAACGTCTCATCCTGAATGATCAGTGAATTAGTATTTTGATTATATTTGGTTACGTGTCAACGTTCACAGTCATTTACTCAATTCCCATATACTTGTTTATCAGTGAAAGAAAAAGATTTTTCAAAGGACTAATGTAACTCTTATGTCATGGTAAGTAAGCTGTGTGATTTTAATCTGTTATCAATGCTTTTCTTGCTCTTGAATCTCATCAAGTTTAAGGCCTTCTCAGATGTGCCATTGAATCTCCTCAAAGTGCGGTAAGGTTATAGATACAACAGGCACAATAGCCTAGAGGCAGTTTAGCTCAGGAAAGAATCTCATGAAACAAGACTCAACTTTCCGTGAGAATTACCTGAGGCATCTGACTCTCAAAAATTGTTCAGTACTTCTTTCACCAGTGCCCTTTGAAGGATTTGATAGGTGAATTAGCTTGAAATTATGTGATGTAACAATCTTTTATCAGTAGTGTGTATTTTACGAAACTATAATATAGGGTCCAAGTAAAATAAAACTGAGTAGGTAGTCTAAGAGTTGTTCAATTAATTATTGGCATAATCATGTCATTTATTTATTTTCTAAGGGAACTGTAAGGTTCAGAAGTAGTTATTGAAACTTAAAGAGTGATGAACCCAAAGAGTCAAAAAGGCAAACTACAAATAAGTGTCTAACACCTGACATTTTTTAAACACAACAGAGAAAGGTTAAGTAATCTTTGGTAAGTTTTATAATGTGAGTTTCTCCCTCCGTCCTAATTTATGCGACAATTTCACTTGCACTTTCTGTTTTAAGTTTGACTTTATATGAAAAATAATTTTGGAGATACCTCACTTTTCTATCCTTGTTTATCGTCTACAGGTTCTTATTTGAGAGAATATTGTCATATTTATGATGCTTCCTAAGGATAAATAACTTTGTATTGCTAATTTACCTCCTGATGTACTTAGCAACCTTCCTGAGAATGTACTTGATGAAATTCTTATTCGTATGACCTTACGAGATGCTGTGAGGTCAAGTATCTTATCAAAGAAATGGAGATATAGTTGGTGCAGACTTCCTGAGTTAACACTTGATCAAACACTTTGGGATACAACAGATCAATCAATATGCTTTGTAACTAGGTTTACAGACATAATTTACCACCTTTTGGCACTTCACGTCGGACCAATTACAAAGTTTATCCTCTCTGATATTGCTAATCTTGGAAATTACTCTAAAATAGACAACCTTGTGTTGTTCCTCTCTAAAAATGGTATTCAACATCTTGTTCTTCAGTTCCCGAAGCATAAACCATACAAATTGCCTTCTTCATTTTTCACATGTTCACGAATGAGTCATCTGAGTCTCCATCATTGTTCAATTCAGCCTTTATCTACCTTCACAAGATTTAGTGAGTTAGTTAAACTTGAACTGTATGAAGTCACAATTTCCTCTGAAATGCTTGGAAGTTTAATCTCTCATAGCCAGTTGCTCGAGAAGTTGGTATTGCAAATCTCAAGTATTTTAGACCACATTCCAATTGATGCTCCAAAGTTGAAATCCTTTGATTTCACAGGCAACATAGAGTTAATATCGTTAAAGAAAGTACCCTTTCTTTTGGAACTTTCACTTTTTAATACAGTAGCACCATCTCCGGAGACAGGACAACATGATTTTACCAAGTATTTTGAATCTTTTCCTAATCTTGAGCATCTCCACTTGGATTATCGTAGTCTCAAGGTAAACATTGCATCATGTCCCATTGTGTGGGGGTTGACACAAACCGTTTGAGTGTTCTTGATTTTTTTATGTTTCCTTCTTAGTTATTGGCTGCAGAATCATATGACATAGCAGCAAAGCTTTCCTCTCCTCTTAATGGTCTTAAATGTCTTTGCTTATCCGACATTTGTTTGGATAGCTTAGCTGAGCTTTCGCCTGCTCTTTGCTTGATAAGAAGCTCCCCATATCTGCAAGATATTCAGATAAAGGTGCTAATGATATTCGGTTTCATTTTTTATTTATGGTTCTACTTGCTTATGTTCAAACTCATTAATTATTTCTTCAATTTAAGTTGTGTAGCCTGTAATAATGATTTTTCTCAATCTTTTGTAGATTGAGTATGTGGCATTGAACAACTTGCTTTTTCCTGTGCCCGTTGATGTTGTTAATGAAATTTCTTCAAGTTTCTCAGATGTGACATTGAATCACCTCAGGTCTGTTGAGTTTGAAGGTATTACAGGCAAAAAGGCTGAAATGGAGCTTGTCATGCTTCTGTTAGTCTCCGGTGCTCTTGAGAATGCTAATCCAGCCGGACATAGAAAATGGATCTGCTGAAACAAGACTGAAGGTACTTACAGATATAACAAAGTTTCCGAGAGCATCACCTAAAGCAGAAGTTGACTATAACAACGGTGTTTGATCTCTAGTCTTTATCAGACAGACCCTCATATTGGTGCAAGTTTTTGTATGAGTAGCATATGGATTTGTTTTGCGAACATATGTTAGATATTTGTAATGTCACATCTTGAATGATCAATGAATTTGAGAATTGGTATTTGATTATATTTGGATACATGTCAACGTTCATATATTCATTTACTCATTCCCATATACTTGTTTATCAGTGAAAGAAAAAGATGATTTTCAAAGGACTAATGTAACTCTTATTGTCATGGTGTGTGATGTTAATCTGTTATCAATGAGATTCATGCTCTTGAATCTCATCAAGTTTAAGGCCTTCTCAGATGTGCCATTGAATCTCCTCAGAGCATGCTAAGGGATAATTGTGCAATATATATATGATAACTTTCTAAGGAGGAAAAAGAACTTGTAGTGCTACTTTACCTCTTGATGCACTTAGCAACCTTCCTGAGAATGTACTTGATGACATTCTTATTCGTAAGCCCTTACGAGATGCTGTGAGGTCAAGTATCTTATCAAAGAAATGAAGATATAATTGGTGTAGACTTCCAGAGTTTGTGTTTGATCAAACACTTGGGGATACAACAAATGAGTCAATATCCCTTGTAACTAGGTTTACAGACATAATCTACCACCTTTTGGCACTTCATGTTGGACCAATTACAAAGTTTATCCTCTCTGATATTGCTAATCTTGGAAATTACTCTAAAATTGACAATCTGTTATTGTTCCTCTCGAGAAATGGTATTCAACATCTTGTATTTCAGTTCCCGAAGGATAAACCATACAAATTGCCTTCTTCATTTTTCACATGTTCACGAATGAGTCATCTGAGATCTCCGTTATTGTTAAATTCAGCCTCCACCTACCTTCAAAGGATTTAGTGAGTTAGTTAGCCTTGAATTATGTGAACTCAAAATTTCTTCCGAAATGCTTGGAAGTTTACTCTCTCATAGCCCGCTGCTCGAGAAGTTGGTGATGCAAATCTCAAGTATTTTAGACTGCATTCAAATTGATGCTCCCAAGTTGAAATCCTTTGACTTCACTGACAATATAAATATACTTTCCTTGGTGAAATCACCATTTCTTGTGAAACTTTCACTTGTGAGTGCAGCAGTTACTTTGAAGACAGAAACACAGCTTTCAAAGTATTTTGAGGTTTGTCCTGCTCTCGAGCATCTCCACTTCGATGATCGTAGTCTCCAGGTAAACATCGCATCATGTCCACTGTAATGCACTTTCATAGGCGCCCCCCCCCCCCCCCCCCCCCCCATCGTGTGGGGTTTGACTGTTCCTGGGATTTTCAATGTTTTCTTCTTCGGCCTTGGCTGCAGGATCATATGACGTAGCAGCAAAGCATTCCTCTCCTCTTAATTGTCTAAAAAGTCTTAGCTTATCCAACATTTGTTTGGATGAATTAGTTGAGCTTTTGACTGCTCTTTGCTTGATAAGAAGCTCCCCATATTTGCAGGATATTCAAATAAAGGTGCTAATGACTTTTAATTTCATTTTTTATTTATGGTTCTTCATATGTGGTGACTACTTGCTTATGTTCAATCTAAGTTATGTAGTAATGAATTTTCTCAATCTTTTGTAGATTGATTATGTGGTTGTTAAGGAAATTCCTTCAAGTTTATCTGATATGACGTTGGATCACCTCAGGTCTGTTAAACTTGAAGGTATTACAGGCACAAAGACTGAAATCGAATTTATCAAACTTCTATTATCCAAATCTCCAGTGCTAGTGAGAATGTTAATCCAGCAGGAGATTGCAAATGTATCTGCTGAAACAAGACTAAAGGTAGTTACAGAGATAACAAAATTTCCGAGGGCATCACCTAAAGCACAAGTTTACTATAACAGTGGTGTGTGATCTCTAGTCCTTTATCAGACCCTCATATTGGTGCAAGTTTTTGTAAGCATAGATGATGGATGTGTTTTCGCAAACAAAAGTTTATCTTGTTAGTTTTTTGTTGTCTCATCTTGAATGATGAATGTTAGTTAGATTTGGCTTCTGAATTTGGTTTTATGGAATTTTCCCTTTTTTTTTATTGTGCTGTAACTTTTGTTCCAGTTCACTGAGTATTTTGATTATAGTTGGTTAGGTTTTACAGTCACATAGTTATTTCTATATACTATCTTAACTCTGTAACTCTTGGTAAGCCTGTGTGATGTTGATCCGTTATCGATGAGATTCATGCTCTTGAATCTCATGAAGTTTAAGGCTTCTCAGATGAGCCATAAATCTCCTCAGATAGGTTAACAAAGACAGTGGTTAAGCTTCTAATACCCAAGTCTCTAATGCTTGTAAGTTGTAAGGATGGTAACCAAAAGAATCTCATGAAACGAAACTCGACTTGCTCACAGAGCCAACAAAATTTCCGCGAGCATTACCTAAAGCAGAAGCTGTCTATAAAATCGAACAAGTTCTATCTAAGCTTGTCTTTGTAACACCATGATCTTTGGCTGCTGAGATTTTTTTTTGGAAGTTGAACTGAATATATAGAAATCAGAAATGGATGTGGATGCTGTAAATTTATATGGCTGTATTTTGGCCATTAAGGCGGAAAAGTAATAAAAACTCTCTTGATTTGCTAAAATAAACGAGTTAAAACAAAAAACTATTTTAATACAAAGGGCCATGTAAAAATAAAATGGAGGTAGCAATATTTAACTTCAAATGGTATTCTAAGAGTTGATCATCTCATTTATTTCTTTTTCTAGGGGAGCTGAAACATTCACTTGAAAACTACAAATAAGGGCCTAACAGCTGACATTTTTTAAACACAAGGTTAAACTCCATATGTTTGGATCTTGGTAAGCTTTACATTATGCGTTTCTCATTATTTTTCTTCTATAGAATATTTTAGTTTCCTTGGAAATCAAGAGATTTAATGTATTGGAATTGAAAAAAAGTACATATATAGTTTTGGCTTTTGAGCTTGATTGTGGGGTGTATTAGGCAACTGATATGTAATTGTATGTCACATCATTGAATTGCTACTCCTTTCATTGTAATTTATGTGGCACCTTTTGCTTTTCGAGATAGAACACACTGACACTTATTACAATTTTTGAATTCCTATTCTTGTTTATTATCTGCAGGTTCTTATTGGGGATAATTGTGCAATACATATATATATATATATATGATGCTTCCTAATGATAAAAAACTTTGTAGTGCTTCTTACCTCCTGATGTACTTAGCAACCTTCCTGAGAATGTACTTGCTGACATTCTTATTCGTCTGCCCTTACGAGATGCTGTGAGGTCAAGTATCTTGTCGAAGAAATGGAGATATAATTGGTGCAGACTTCCTCAGTTATCGCTTGATCAAACACTTTGGGATACAACAGATCAATCAATATGCTTTGTAACTAGGTTTACAGACATAATTTACCACCTTTTGGCACTTCACGTCGTACCAATTACAAAGTTTATCCTCTCTGATATTGCTAATCTTGGAAATTACTCTAAAATTGACAACCTTGTATTGTTCGTCTCTAAAAATGGTATTCAACATCTTGCTCTTCAGTTCCCGAAGCATAAACCATACAAATTGCCTTCTTCATTTTTCACATGTTCACGAATGAGTCATCTGAGTCTCCATCATTGTTCAATTCAGCCTTTATCTACCTTCACAGGATTTAGTGAGTTAGTTAAACTTGAACTGAATGAAGTCACAATTTCCTCTGAAATGCTTGGATGTTTAATCTCTCATAGCCAGTTGCTCGAGAAGTTGGTACTGCAAATCTCAAGTATTTTAGACCACATTCAAATTGATGCTCCAAAGTTGAAATCATTTGATTTCACAGGCAACATAGAGTTAATATCGTTAAAGAAAGTACCCTTTCTTTTGGAACTTTCACTTTTTAATACAGTAGCACCATCTCTGGAGACAGGAGAACATGATTTTACCAAGTATTTTGAATCTTTTCCTAATCTTGAGCATCTCCACTTGGATTATCATAGTCTCCAGGTAAACATTGCATCATGTCCCATTGTGTGGGGGTTGACACAAACCGTTTGAGTGTTCTTGATTTTTTTTATGTTTCCTTCTTAGTTATTGGCTGCAGGATCATATGACATAGAAGCAAAGCTTTCCTCTCCTCTTAATGGTCTTAAATGTCTTTGCTTATCCGACATTTGTTTGGATGAATTAGCTGAGCTTTCGCCTGCTCTTTGCTTGATAAGAAGCTCCCCATATTTGCAAGATGTTCAAATAAAAGTGCTAGTGAAGTTTAATTTCATTTTTTATTTAAGGTTCTTCGTATGTCATGACTCTCTTATGTTTAATCTCATTATATTTTCAATTTAAGTTCTATAGTAATGATTTTTCTCTTATCTTATCTAGATTGATAATGTGAAGTTGCTACCTCTGCCCGATGATGTTATTAATGAAATTCCTTCAAGTTTCTCAGATGTGACATTGCGTCACCTCAGGTCTGTTAAGTTTGAAGGTATCACAGGCAAAAGGCCTGAAATGGAGCTTGTCAAGCTTCTGTTAGCTAAGTCTCCGATGCTTGTGAGAATGCAAATCCAGCCGGACATAGAAAACGGATCTGTTGAAACAAGACTGAAGGTACTTACAGAGATAACAAAGTTTCCGAGGGCATCACCTAAAGCACAAGTTGACTATAACAGTGGTGTGTGATCTCTAGTCCTTTATCAGACCCTCATATTGGTGCAAGTTTTTGTAAGCATAGATGATGGATGTGTTTTCACAAACAGAAGTTTATCTTGAATGCTGAATGTAGTTTGATTTGGTATCTGAAGTTGCTTTTATGGAATTTTTCCTGTTTTTTTGTTCCAGTTAACTGAGTATTTTGATTATATTTGGTTAGATGTCACAGTTCAGATAGTTATTTCTATATACTAAACTCTGTAAGTCTTGATAAGCCTGTGAGGTGTTGATCTGTTATCGATGAGATTCATGCTCTTGAATCTCATCAAGTTTAAGGCTTCTCAGATGAGCCATAAACCTCTTCAGAGTCGTTAACAGGCAAAAAGGGTGTGTTTGGTATGATGGAAAATGTTTTCCATAGGAAAATATGTAATTCTGGAAAACAAGTAGATTTTTGACTTATTTTCTCATGTTTGATTGGTGAGTAGAAAATATTTTCCGAAAATGATTTTTAGTGTTTGATTTATGAATGAAAAATGTTTTTGAGAAATATTTTTTATTTTTACTAGAGTATAAAATAATTTATAAAATTGAAAATATTTTTTAAAAACAATTTTTATTTGGGGTGGTGGATGTGACAGGGGATAGGGTATGAGTGAAAAATAAAAATTTGAACTTTATCGTATTTTTAAAAAACAAAATTAATTTTTTTGGGGGTTTGGGGTGGGTGAGGGGCTGGCTGGGGGGGGGGAGGGGAGAGGGAGTTTAAAAATAAAAATTTGAAGTTATAAAATATTTTTAAAAAGCAAAATTAGGGGTTGGGGAGGGAGGACTGGCCGAACGTTGGTGGATGGGTGTCAGAGATCGGATAAAAAAATAAAATTTTAAAATGGATTTTTTTTAAAATTATTGTTTTTCCCCAAAAAATGTAATTTAAAATTGGAGAAGAATTTTGAAAAATGTTTTCCTTAATTTTTGAACGAAAGTCATTTTTCTTAATTTTGAGAAAAATGAATTGATTTGAAAACTTTTCAGAAAATATTTTCCTTCATACCAAACACACTCAAAGACTCTGTTGGTAGTAGCTAGCAAGTACCAGGAGGAATCAACCAAGTGCGTGAAAGTTGGCTCAGAAACCGACTTCTTGTTGATCCCCATCTGCTTTCTCTAAGGTCATTATGAAAATTATGTAAATAGCAAAAACATGTAATATACACAAAAGACTTTTATATCAACCAGAGTATTTAAAGGGGATTGTAACTGGACACCCCAACGTCAACCAGTATCGCGCAACAACAAGATAGTCAAAGACTATTTAACAGAACATGGTCTTGCAAAAAAGATGAGTTAAGTTGAGCAGGATTGTTCTCTGGAAGTAATCTATGAAAGTTTATAAACAACTTCTGCTCTGGGTAATGCTCGTCGAAATTGTGTTATCTCTGCGAGTACCTCAATTCTTGATTTAGGAGTATCATCTCCTACACTAGGCTTGATTAGCATTCTAGTGAGCATCGGAGACTTGGCTAAGAGAAACTTGATAAGTTGCATTTCAGGATCTGTGCCTGTAATACCGGCAAAGTGAACAACTCTGAGGTGATTCAATGTCACATCCGATAAGCTATTCACTTTCTCTAAAATCTCATTGGTAACATCACCCCCCGCAGGTTCAACCCAATCATCATACACCTACGAAAAAACAAAAGCCCGTTCACTCAACTAAATTGGAGGATTAACAGATTATGGGGTAAGAAAACAATTACATAAGAGAAAGAAGAGAGTAGAACCTCAATTTCTATTTCTTGTAAAAACGGGAAGCTTTTTATCAAGTAAAAAGCACACGAAGCCACATCTAGTTCATCTAGAGAAAACTCGGACAGGTGAAGACGTTTAAGAGAGTTAAGAGCAAAAGGGAGCATTTTTGGTACTTCACCTGCAAAGAACTGAAACAGACGACACCAAAGTTTGGATGTTTCAAAGCAAAAAACATGCATGAAAATGCACTACAATGAAGTCACAAAGGGAACATTTACCCGGACACTAAAATAATCCAAGTGGAGATGCTTGAGAGCAGGAAAAGACTCGAGCAACTTGGCGATACCACATTTTCCCGCCTTCCCAGAATATCCAGTATCCACAAGTGAAAGCTTCTCAAGAAGAGGGACACCTTCTAAAGAAAGAAAGATTAGCTTGCCAGTGAAGTCAAAGGATTTCAACTTGGGAGCTCTAATTTGAATGTGATTTGTGATAGTTGAATGCAGCACCAAATGCTCGAGCGACGGGCAACAAGAGATCAAACTTCCAATAAACTTGGAAGGAATTGTGACATCACAAAGTTCCAGGCTAACTAACTTTTCAAATCCTTTAAAAGCAGGTGGAAACATAATCAAACAATTTTGGAGACTCAAATGGCTTATTTGCGAACATGTGAAAAATGAAGAAGGCAATTTGTATAGGTTACCCCTTGGAAATTGAAGAACAAGGTGTTGAATGCCATTTCTAGAGAGGAAATACATCAAGTTGTCAATCTTTGAGCAGTTCCCCAGAGTGGCAACAGAGAGGGTAAACTTAGAAATTGGTCCGACGTGGAGGGTCAATAGGTGGAAGATAATGTTTGTAAATCTAGTTGTAGGGGATATTGCGTTATTCGTCATATCCCAAAATGCCTGGTCAATCGTCCACACTGGTAATCTACACCAATTATACCTCCACATCTTCGATAAGATGCTTGTCCTCACAGCATCTCGTAAAGGCAAACGCATAACAATAGCATCTATTATATTATCAGGAAGATTGCTAAGTATATCAGGAGCTAGAGCTCGAGAACCACGCTTCTTTTCCTTAGGAGGCATGATACAACAATAATTTCCAGTAAGACCTGCATGAAGTACACAACAATACAAAGGTAAAGAATGGCAAAACTATCTGGATAGAGTGAATCAGCATCACATAACACTTATTCACATTATTAATCATCACGGCATAACAGTAAGATAAAAAGTATGGCTGCATTCTATCTGAAACCACTCATCGTTCTCCTAATATCATTCTTGAATATACAGCAAGAACCCCCTTTTAATTAACACTTCAAGAATCGAGAATTACTAAGATATATTAATCTAAAGGGAAACTAAAAGACGAAAAAAAAAGAATCACATTGTCTTTACTGGTAATAAGCTAGATACTCCAAAATACACTACAAGAGAAGGAAAAAATTACTATCAAATACTTGGCAAGTTTCACTAAAAAAATCAGCTCAGTAGCTGTTTCACAGCCTTATAGCTAGATTTGACACCAAACTAGTAACTTTAACTCAAAATTTGAAAAGTTTTCTCATAATTTGTGTCACTATAGCTTGCTTGGCAAGTAAATCCTATCACGCCTTACATCTACATTAATTTGTTCACCTCAACATGATTTTTATATATTGGAGGGACAATATTTCTATGATCCTTATACTCACTAACACTCTAACTGACGGTACAACTCCAACTATAGATCTAGCTTCCTCTGACAAAAGAGACTTTTCCTACCAAAAAACCTACTAACAAAGTCAAATCCAAGATTTATACTTACACGGTCATTGGATATTCAAAGTTATGGGTTCATATCTACTATTTGTTGGAACTCCACATTGAGAGTATTGAGTTCATGAACCCACTAATATTACTCTGATTACCACTCTCCACTGGACACACACAAATCATTAGTCCCAGAAAATCTTTAAGAATTAAAACCATGTTCATAGCATGTACAACAACAATGACCCTTTTCTCGTAATGAGAATGCATATAATCCTATTACCGTCTTCTCTGTGGAAAACATTTTATCAAAGAAAAGCCATCTTCTAAGTTCTTTTTATTGCTTGGTTGGTTATAGGCATGGTAATGATCAATGAAAATCACAAGTAGCAAATTGCTTGACTGGGTGTACATGTTTAGTTCAAGTAATAGTTGGGTGAAAACAGACTTAAAACCATAAACAGAGCTATTTTATTCTATTTAGCTTACATAGGGAAACATTTTAACCAATCCATATCAAGGACAAACTTACAAACAAATAAAAAATGCTTACATCCTATGTTCCTCGTACCCTCCAAAAATGCTAGTGTTGAATCCTCCCAAAAAAACAGAGACTTTTGGAGGACTCGAGCAATGCAGGATTCCCAGTAACATAGCTTACATCAACCAAATTAAGCATAAAAATTGCTTACGTCCTATGTTGCTTATGCCCTCCAAACATGTTAGTATCGAATCCTCCCATAAAAACAAAGACTTTTGGAGGATCAGAGCAACATAGGATTCTCAGTAACATCGTTTACACCAGCCAAAATTAAGCATAAGAAATGCTTACATCCTATGTTGCATGTACCCTCCAAAAAATATTAAGTGATGAATCCTCCCAAAAAAAACAAAAACTTTTGGAGGAGTAAAGTAGGATTCCCAGCAACATAGCTTACATCCTATGTTGCTCATACCTTCCAAAAAAGTCAGTGTCAAATACTCCCAAAAAACAAAACTTTTGGAGTAGGATTCCCAGCAACATAGCTTACACCAACCAAATCAAGCAGCTTTTTCTACAAAAAACAACATACCCCTCCTAATCCCACAAGTAAGCTCTAGAGAAAATAGCATGTACACAACATCTTACTCCGAATTTTGTTTATGGGGTTTGAGAGTTTGTTTTCGATAGCTCTTCGACTGAAAAGGAATGTTATGCATAAAACCAACATCTACAACAACAACAACAAAAAAAAGGAAAATAGGGCTTTCTCTACATTCCCAAATCCCAAAAACCCCAAATCTTCAACAAAAAAAAGTACAAAAACAAAGATAGAGCTTCTATTTCACAGATTAACAACACCCAACTGAGAAAGATTTGATTTTTAAACAGAACAAGAAAGCAAATTTTAAGCTTATCCAGAATAAAAATTGTTATTGATACTGTGAACATCCAATAAAATAAAATAAAATCAAATGCGCTTTTAACCACACGTTATCCTTCAGCTGCTGAACACAAATTTGTATGATTTTGAGGTCTTCAAATTCATCAATGAGTGAAAGAGGGAAGCGAAGAAGGAGAAGAGATTTTCTTCTAAATTAAATTTTACGTAATATGAAGTGGGGTGAGTGGGTGAGGGGCAATTAATTATGGAAGTTCCTTATATGTCTTGTCTGTTCGTATCAATTTATATGACACGATTTAATTCGACATATAAAATTTTAAAAAATGAATATAATGAATTTCTTAGCTATTGATGTGATTATAAATTATTTTATTAAATCTTAGAGTTCAAATATATTTTTTTATTTTATATTAGTTATTTATTTTTCTCGTTATAAAGAATCATAAGCAAAAATGATAACTTTCCTTAATTTGCACTTTAAGAATTTTTTCTCAAAGTTTACGAAATTGTTAACATTTACAAAAATAAAAAAAAGGATGAATTATTGGAATAATTATCTATAATAAAGTGGATAATTAATATAGGATAGTGAAAAGACTTTCTTTTCGGGATCGAAAAAAAGTAAATATCACATAAATTGAGGGGGAAAAGTGTAAAAAATTAATGTGGTTATTTATTTAGAGAAATTGGCATGTATATTTAGTTACTGATTATTTACTTTGATCTATTCTATTCAGTCCACTTAATTATTTTTGACCTATGCCCGAAATCTCAGAGACACACTTATACTATACTAAGGTCCTATTACCCCCTGAACTTATTTATTAATAATTTTTTACCCCTTTTCGACCTACGTGACACTATCTTGTGAGCCCAACGATGGTTGACTTTTTTTTCAAACTAGTGCCACGTAGGTTAAAAAGGGGTAGAAAATTACTTATAAAATAAGTTCAGGGGTAATAGGACCTTAGTATAGTATAAGTGTGCCTCTGAAATTTCAGGCTTAGGTTGAGGGGTACTTATGCATTATCCCTTTTTGACATGTGACATTTAATATATCAAAATAGTTAAATTTGATTATATAGGTCAGTTATAAATTCAATTTTTTAATTTTATGACCTTTTTTTTAATAAGAGATCGTCATTTTATATAAAATAGATCTAGACAATACTGGGAGATAACACTTGTTTAGTATAATCGACACAAAATTCCAACATTTTAACCATAAGGGCAAATGTAGAAGGAGCAAAGGTATATCCATTTGAAATTTAAAATTTTCTCTCAGCGCATATTAGCCTAACGTGCACCCCATGGGGGGAGGAAATACAATCGCTACAGCGAAGGCCATTGAAGCACAAGAGGGAGCAAAGTAGACGACGATGCAACAAAAAAGGAAGGGGAATCAGGCAAAGAAAAATCAATTTGTTTTTTCAAAAGGGGGATAACAGAGCAGTTGGGTTCACCGGCAACGGATGGAATCAAAGCTAGTAATTACGGAAAATTGCCAAAGAAACAGCGTTATCAAAATTCAATGGAACAGTGCAGATGAAGGATGCGAGGTCTATAAATGTACTACAAGAGTGGGAGGAGAAAACTCAGGCATATGGTACATCGGGCAAGAGATCATGGGCAGATGAGGTTGAGGAGGATGAAGGGAGTAAGCGGAAACCGTCAATCTGGGATAAATTTGACATAACTAGGGTTTCTAATGCAGGGCTTAAGCTGGAATATGTGACTCCAAATCGACAAAGAGGGGTGGTTGTTTGTGAAATTGAGCATGAGGACATGAGGGAGGACAAAATGCTCGTATGACTGCGCCGCATGGGAAAAAACAAGGGCTAGCAGTGCTGCAATTTCTAGAGAACGGTGAATTACTTACCCAAATAAACTCTACTGTGATCTCCTTAATCCCCAAAGTAACAACCCATGTACTAGCTAGTCAGTTCAGGCCCATTTCTTGTTGGAACCTGATTTACAAATGTATCATTAAGATGCTTTTATTTTTTCTTTAGGCTAAAGGCAATATTCCCTAGTTTGGTTGATAAGTACTCAAGTGGCCTTTGTGCAAGGTAGGTCTTTGATTCATAATGTCTTAATATGTCATGATTTGTTGAGACACTATAATCGAAAGACTTCTCCAAGATGTCTTATGAAGATAGACTTGAAAAAAACATATGATATAGTGAGGTGGAATTTCATTGAAGAAGCATTGATGGGTTTTGGTTTTGCAGAGCCCTTCATAAGACTGGTCATGACTTGTGTCACCATAACTCATTTTTCTGTACAAGTGAATGGAGAGAGTTATGGCTATTTAGAAAGGTAAGAGGGTATTGAGGCAAGGAGATCCCATCTCCCAGCTCCTTTTTGTATTGGTAATGGAATATTTATCAAGTATTCTCAACAAAATGAGTGATTTACCCAACTTCAAATTCCATCTAATGTGTAGGAGAACCAAACTAACTTATTTAATCTTTGCCGATGATCTCATGATTTTCTGCAAGGGGGATATGAGCTCAATTACTAAAGTGATAGAGGCACTAGACCACGTTAGTAGAGCGAATTTTGATAAATCCAGCATCTTCATAGGCAGGTGTGAGTGATGAGGTCAAACAACGCATTATAACAAAAACGGGGTTTGCATTGAATACTTTGTCTATCAAATATTTGAGACTACTACTTACCTCAAAGAAGTGGACAAAGATGGACTGCCAACAACTAGTGGATAAAATTATTGAAAGAATACAAGCTACTTATGCGAAGCATTTGTCATATGCTGGAAGATTACAAATAGTTATGGCAGTGTTTTTTTTTCCATTCATAAGCTTTTGTCTTGCCGCAAAGCGTGTTAAAGGAGATTGATAAGAAGTGTAGGGAGTTCCTATGGAATGCAACCGCGGAAAAGAGGAAGATAGCACTAGTAGCTTGGTATAAAGGCCGTGTCCCTAAGAAATTTGGAGGGCTTAACAGGAATATTGATTTAGTGGGGGGAACTTTTGTGGCAAGTGACAATAAAGAAGGATGTGATATGGGTAAAGTGGGTGAATGATGTTTATATGAAAAAGACGGTGAATATATATATGGGAATATGATGCTCCTCCAGATTGCAGCTGGTACTAGAGGAAATTCAATACACTAAAGCACAAATGGCTAGTGGGTATCAAGATAATAGGTACACTCTCAGTCATAATGGTGCCTACTCAGTATCTTGCAACTATCAAGCTCTATTAGGTCCATTCACGAAATTAAAAGAAGCAGATTTAATTTGGAACTCTGTCATGCTACCATGACAGAGATTTATCACTCGGCTGGCATGTCAAAGGAGGCTACTCACGCGTGAAAGATTGTTAAAAATGAGCATTCCAGTGGAAGATGACAATTGTTGTTAGTGTGATGAAAGGGTGCTGGAGACACAACATCACTTATTTACTGAATGCAGGTGGATTACAGATGTGAAAATCCTAATGTGTACATGTCTAGGGGTTCGATTACCATCTAGAAGAGTTTATGAAACAATTAAATAAATCAAAAGAAGAAGGTGGAAGCAGTTTCAGAAGGAAGTTATTGCAGTAGCCTGGGGTGCATTGGTCTACCACACCTTAATTGCTAGGAACAAGAGAATTTTTAGTCATCAGAATGTAAATGATGAATTTGTGAATGCACAGATACAAAAGGAATTGAAAGAAAGGATAGATATGTTACAGGGATCAAGGAAAGCACAGAAATGTCGTCATAGTTTTATACATTTAATTTGTAACTAGTTTCCTAGAGATCAAGTGGTTTTAAGACACCGTTTATAGAAGGTGGTTAAGGAACACTTAGATGCTCTTTAGTTTGTAATTTTTCTGCTTGTTATGGTAATATTTCACATGTGTTACCAAAAAAAATTACCATTTTTTTAGCAGACCATGAAAAAGTTGGAGGTTTTGTAGTAGTATGAATTCTTTATATATATTCATAAAATATTTTTATCAATAATGTTATTGTGTACTAGAGTATTTTAAAAGAACAAATAAAATAATTAAATTTAGCAAAAATTGAGTGAAGTTGGGTCATGACTCATTATCTACTTCCTTTTGACTCAATTCATATCAGTCCAATTAAATTCTGTTTGAATTGGATATTGACTCATTTGTTGTCTTGACCCATTATGATTGACGTAAAATTGATCCAATTTGCTCAATTATTGTCCTTAACAGTTCCTGATATTAAAATACAAGAAAAATCAATGAAACAAATGCACTTATACAAGACAAACTAATAAAGAACTATCAAATAATTATTCTCTACTGGGTGAGTAGCAATTTGACAGAGCAAATGAAGATTAGCCTAGAAATGCCTAATGTGAAAAGATTAGCTATAAATAGTGATTGTTTTAAGCATTCACTACTAATATTAACTAATATGATAATTTCATATCATAAATTAGTTGTGCCATATAATTTTTATTTTATTTTAATAATTAAATAGATTTCATCATTTCATTAGATTAAATTTTGCGCAACAAAAACAATAATATTTTCAGTGGAATCTTATAAATTTGTCCTTTTATGTTCATTAGGGTTAATACCTCCACTTGATTCAATCATAAAAGTTACAGTAGCGTAAGATAGGGCAAAGGAAGATTGGTTTCGTTTTCTGCATCAGATACGCTCGGTCAAATCTCGGTATGTATATACGTTAATTTATTTATTAACATAAATTTTTATGCTTTTACATGTCGTGTCAGAGCTTGAAACTTGAACTAATAATTTTCACTCATAGAGTAATTTTATCTTGTTATGAGAGGCGACCCACATTCACATGTGTGGGTATATATACGTATATCTATCTCCGGCATAAAAGAAAGATATAATTAACAGCTTACTTTTAATGACTGTAGAGGTATCTTTGTGCTGCTGGTACAAGCTAGCGAGGAATCACCCACAAAATTAGGGTTTGAATCTAGCTAAAGCCTTTATTTCTTTTTAACTTTATTGGTGCATCTGAAGTCTTCAATTCTTAGGTTCGTTTTTGCTTGTTATAGATACATATTTTTATGTTCTATTACGACATAAGATTATAGCCAACCACCATTAAGATTGAAGAAAGAAAAAATTGTTAAAATGGGCATTTAATAAACTACAACAATATTTTTTTTTGATAGATTTATTATATCATGTTAGGAATTTAAATAAAAGAAATAGAGTGATTCTTATTTAGTCCTAGAACCCATGAATTTCAAAAAGAAAAAGCTATGGAAAAACATTGTCAAGTTTTTAAATATTATTTTTTTTATAAAAAAAGCACAAGTACTCCCTTGAACTATGGTCGATATTTTAAGGACACACATTTTCTTTACATGTCCTAATACCTCCTAGAACTATTTTGAAATGTAATAAATACACCTTTTTTGGTGTTGAGGTGTGGAAGTTAAATTTAAAATTGATCCATAAAAAAGAGTACTTTCGAAACAAATTAAAACATTCTTCTTTTTTTTTGGTTACAAAACGCTTAAGATAATTTTATTATTATTAAAAACTTAGGCCCTTCGATTTTGGGTACGTAAGGCATATGCCTCATCTTTAAAGGCATTGAGCCACCCTTTGAAGAAACCCTAATTAAAACAACAATAACAACAGTAATATTTTCTTTTTTCGAAAAAGAACTATAGTATACTCTGATGATGGGTGTATCTAAATTCATTGTGTAATGGTAGCAACAATATTAAGTTGTTTCAAACTTGTTTCCTCTTAAGATCGTAGTTTTTCAAATAATTACACTATTAAGAAAAGTATTGTTTTCAAATAATTACACTATTAAGAAAAAGTGAAATATTTGTGAAATTCTAATTATGCTATCTTGAGAAAACATAGATTAAAGGGATATGGACTTATGACTTAGTCTTGAATAATGAATATCACCTTGTTCAATTATCAACATTTTTTTTAATTTATATGAATCTGATTTCTCATTCAAGTCTTTATGGTTTAGGTTTAATTACAGGTTTGGATATGAATATTTGAATTAACAAAAAAATATCATTTCTCATGATTTTGGTGTTCTTATTAATAGCTTAGAGTTGTGATATGTTAATTGAATAAGGTGAAGAACATTTGTTTGTTATTCGTGTAGCATATACCCGAACCTTACAAATGGTATTCTTGTTTATTTTCTACAGATTATCATGCCTCCAGAGGAACAAAGACTACGTTTACCTTCTCCTGATCGACTAAGCAACCTTCCCATTCATTTAGTCGATGACATTCTAAGTAGGTTGTCTTTTCGAGATGTTGTAAAAACTAGTACACTTTCTGTGGATTGGCAATATACTTGCCGTAGATTTCCAGAGGTGAAATTTGATCAAACAGTCTGGGAAACACCAGGGGACTTGACATCCCCTACCATTGGATTTATCCCTATTCTCGATTGTTTCTTCAGGTTTCATATAGGAACAACACTGAAAGTTACCCTTGACATTGCTAGTCTAAAAGTGTGTCCTAATGTTGATCGTTTGATACATTTGCTTGATACAAATTTCATTCAACATTTCGTCCTTAAACTTCCATTTACTTATCCACCATACAAGATCCCTTACTTCTTTTTTAATTGTTCAGCATTGAGGTATTTGTATCTCATGGAATGTGAAATACATCTTCCACGCTTCTTTCAGGGATTTAATAAGTTGATTAGCCTGAAATTAAAATTTGTAACGTTATCTTCTGATACGTTTGAAAGTTTGATCTCTAATTGTCCATTGCTTGAGAATTTAGTGCTAAAAGACATCAACAATCCGTACCTCATGAGTATAAATGCTCCTAAGCTAAGGTCATTTTTCTTTCGTGGAGATATACAATTGATATATCTAGAGAATGTTCCTCTTCTTTCCAATGTTCAGTATGAGCCTAAGGAATTAGTTCTAGAGGAAAAATATGGTTTTGACAATATTTTTTCGTCTATTCCTGCTCTAGAGTATTTCAGCTGGGATCATTTTGAGGTAATGTTGCTTCATTTTACTTGTATTTTCATACATGTACTTTTCTTTTTGGCATCCTGATTTTTGTCATTTTATTCATAGGTCGATATTGGATCAACTGAATTTATACCAACAAGGCTTCCATCCGTTCTTAACTGTTTGAAACGCCTATTCATATCTTGGATTGCTCTTGGAGAGTTTGTTGAGCTTTCATTTGCTCTTTTCATGATAAGGAGCTCTCCAAATTTGGAAGAAATTGAAATTCAGGTTGTCACTAATGTTTATTTTTCTCTCTATCTTTTCCATGTTTTTATATTCGTATGTAATGAATTTGATGGTTTTTTTCTAATTTTTTCTTAGGGGTGTATCCTTAATGATGGGAATTATTTCGAATCTGTGCCCCAGGAGGTTGTTGATGAGATTCCTGCAAGCTTCTCGGATATCACATTTAATAATCTGAGGACAGTTAAGTTTTATGATGTACTATTAGAAGAGGGTGAAATGCAGCTAATCAAGGTTTTATTGGCAAATTCTCCAGCACTGGTGAAACTGGAAATCAAGCCTAGTCAAATGGAAAATGACAAATCTCTCAAAGTACTCGCGGAGATAACAAAGTTTCAACAGACATCATCTAAAGTAGAAGTTGTGTATCTTGTTGACTAGTACTGTTATCACAATTTTGCTTAATCTTTGGCTAAAATGTTTTGGAAGTGCAAACAAAAACGAAACGTTTGGTTGATAAAGTAGTTAGGTTGTGTTTTGCCTTTGATTTAAGGTACTATAAAGATTTTATATGCTTGGAAACATAGAATTGTAAACCTAGATGAATGTTTTGAATAATCTGTTTGGGAATAGAGATGGTTTTTACATTTCATCGTTGTTCTTAAATGATATATGATGTGATTTGTCATATTCAGTCCTCTTGATTATTTTTTGTATGTGACATTTAATACCTCAAAATAGTTAAACTTCATTTTATAGGTCAGTTACAAATTCAATTTTTGGATTTTGTGATCTTCTTTTTAATTAAAAAATCTTCATTTTTATATATAAGAGATCTAGAAATACCAAGAGATATCATTTGTTTAGTATTATAGACACAAAATTCCTGCATTTTAGCCACTTTTATGCAAGGGCGAATGTTGAAGGAGCAAAGGTATATTCATTTGAATTTTCTTGGAAAAAACTTTATATGATATATATAAATATATATAAGAGTGTTTTTGTTTGTTTATAAATAAATTTATATTTCCTCAACATAAATGTCTTTGTACATTGTATGATGTTTAAATTCACTAATTTAATTATCATTTTTTTAGCAGACCATGAAAAATAGGAATGACAATAAGGCGAACCGGATGTGGGGCAGGGTAGGTTTAAGGCTATTTGAGGCGGGGCGGATGTGGGGCGGGTTGAAGTGGATTTCTTTTTAATTAATTTTGGGCGGGTGGGTTGCGGGTATATGTGATTTTATGTGGGTTCAAACTTAATTTTATACTTCTTACATGTTATAGAATGATAGAAAATTATTTATTAAGATAATTTCATTAAAGCTACTAAAATATTCAAGATAATAAATGAAAATGGTTCAATAAAAAATATTACAATTTCTTGCATGATTTTCAATTGACCTCTAAAAATAAAATTTAAAGTCACTATCCTATTATATTAATACAACTTAATGAAAAAATGAATTTATTTTATGAATTTTAATTTTAGTATCAACATAACTAAGAAAAAAAGAAAATATTATGAAAATTATGTAGGGCAAGTTCATGCGGGGCAGGTCTATGTGGGGTGGGGCGGGGCAGGTTGAAAATGAAAAGTTTTGCTATCCGAGGCGGGGTGGATTAAAATGTTTGTGGGTTAAGCTCAACCCGCACCGGCCTCGCGCTACACCACCACATTGTCATCCCTAATGAAAAAGTAGGAGGTTTTGTAGTATAATTCTTTATATATATCCACAAAATAATTTTATCAATAATGTTATTGTGTACTAAAATTTTTTTAAAAAGAACAAATAAAATAATTAATCTTGGTGAAAATTGAGTTGAGTTGGGTCTTGACTCATTATCTGCTCCGTTTTGGCTCAATTCGTATTGATTCAATTAATTCAGTTTGAATTGGATCTTGAACTGTTTGTTATCTTAACACAATATGATTGACTAAAATTGATCTAATTTTCTCAATTACCGGAGATAACAATGTTTGATATTAAAATTGAAGAAAAATCAATGAAACAAATACAGTTATACATGAAAAACTATTAAAAAACTACCAAATAGTTATCCTCTTTTGGGTGAGTCGCGATTTATCTGAGCAAATGAAGATTAGCCTAGAGATGCCTAATATTACAATCAAATTGTAGATAGTTTTGTGTATTTACTGTTTTTCTATGAAATAAAAAGATAAGCTATAAATAATAACTATTTTAAGTATTCACTACCAGTATTACTAATATGATAATTACATATCATAAATTAGTTGTACCATATAATTTTTATTTTATTTTAATAATTAAATAGATTACACCATTTCATTAGATTATGTGTTTCGCAACAAAAAGAATAACATTTTGAGTGGAATCGTTTAAATTGGTCCTTTTATGTTCATTAGGGTTAAAACCTCCACTCGATTCAATCACGAAAGATACAGTAGCGTAAGATAGGGCAAAGGGAGATTAATTTCGTTTTCTTCCTCGCATACGCTCGTTCAAAATGTTGGTATGTAAATATATTAATTTCTTTATTAACATAAACGTTTATGCTTTTACATGCCGTATCAGAACCTGAAACTTGCATTAATGATTTTCACTCATGAAGTAACTTTATCTTGTTGTGAGAGGCGGACCCACATTCATATGTGTGGTGCATATACATGTATATCTATCTATGGCAAAAAAAGTTATAATTAACAACGCACTCTTAATGAGTGTAGAGCTACCCTTGTGCTAGAGGAATCGCCCACAAAACTAGGGTTTTGAATCTAGCTAAAGCCTATATTTGTTTTTAAGTTAATTGTGTGTGTGTGGGGGGGGGGGGGGTAAATTTAAAATTCACTTAGTCAATTACCATTAGTTGTAATCGACTTACCTACAAGTTAGGAGGAAGATAAACAATAATAGAAAGTTGTAGTAAATAATTAACACAAAAGGTTTTATCCATGTTCAGATCACCAATGCGGTGTCTAGTACATTCCCCTTTGGTTTCAAGAGTTTTCCATAATAGATTGGAAGAGATCTTCGTGTTACAACAATTTGAAATTTTATCTTGTTTCATATGCAAATCAAATTTCTACCTTGGCACTGCCTCAACTTGTATACCTACACTCATATTCTTTCTTTTCTCTTTACTTTTCATTTGTATCACTCACATGTTTACGAAGCTTTATGAAAGACCAAAGAAAACTATTTTCTAAGCTAAGTGAAGTTGCATATTTTACACTACAAATCTAGGTCGGTTTATGTAGATGATGATCTGTGCTCTTGTAAGGAAAACCCCAAGAGATTTATCTCAATCAAGGATCAATTTAGGGAGTCATTGATTGAGGCGATTTAGTTGATATGTATCCAGAAAGTAAATCTCTTCATCTTGTTTCAATTTTCTGATTTGATCTTTTTCTTTTATGATCGACATACTTCTTATCTTGTGGCTTGATTCATGGCTCTTTCCTTTCTTGATGATTCGGTTGTGATCTTTTCCAAGTGTGCAAGTATTTTACTTCATTTAGACTTTCCTTTATGTGCTGATCAACACATATATTCCTTTCCTTCTTTTGTCCCTTAGATTTGAGGCTCGCCTTTTCAATGCTTCTCTGCAACTTCAAGTAAATATTTTCCTTCTTGAAGTCGTTTGCGCTGATTATTTCCTTTTTGAATTTGTGACCTACAAAAATTGAGATCAATGTGTTAAGTGTCTATTTTCAAAATCAACTAACTCTAAAGAGTTAACAGTCTCCTTTTTTTTTTATAATGATAAGATTGATCAGAATTTTAATAGTAATCTTGAAAGTCAATTTTACTTAGAAATTTAATTGTACTTCCCTGAGGTTTCATGTCTTAGTTCATCGATTTATGCAACTCTCCCTGACTTATCTCCCCCATATCACGGAGCGGTAAGAAGATATATTTGTTTTCTCCCCCTTTGTCATGATATAAAAGAATAGCGAAAAGCATACTAGATTAAAGCAAAGACAACAGATACCAGAGTAGTCTAAGAGTCAGAGAGACAAAAAAAAGTAGTCCAAGAAATAGAGAGGTACATGCCCTATTGAAAGTTAGTGCAAAAAGTAAAGGTTCAGCCAATAGGGTTAATGACCAACCCAAAAATACTTGAGGGAGTTAATCACTTACAGAAAGTGTTGTATGATAGTTCCACATTCCGCTAAAGACTAGAGTATGAAGTCTGAGTTGTAACAGCAAGCTTATTGTTGGAGGTGTTGAATCCACTTTTGAGAGAGTCAACTTATTGGATCAAGCGATTACCGTTGAGGTACCTTCCTTCTTAATCGTTGTTATGTCAATGCACAACTTGCCGATATCAGTGCTAGAGTCTTTCGGTAAATGAAATACCTTTTCCAAAGCATCATGAAGGGTCTCCAAGTTCCGTTCTACAGCTAAATGTTTATTTTTTACCTCCTCATTGTCCAGCAATAAAAGAGCGACGAAGTCCGCCGAAAATTTTAGGGCTTGGCAAAATTCGCCCGAGCTTTGACTGAGTCCTTTTTACCCACTTTTCACCAACCTGCACATACCCCATACTAGAAAAGTGCGAGAATCATAAGTTGCATTTATAGGAGAGGGAGGGGGTAAACATAGAAATATCCACAAGACGGTCCACAATAATGCTCGAGATGAGAAAACTATAGGGCAGAGTTGCCGAGACATTCAAGTCTTCAACACTTTACCACATATACACCTTGAACCATTCTGCCAAGTTGATGCGGTATTTTCTAAGCAGGAAGTAGAGAACAAATACATCACGAGTAGAGATGTTACTCAAGGAGTCCTTCCTGGGAATAAGAGTTGTGTCCAGGACATGTGCGAGAACACGATTCTCATAACATAGAGATAAGGGCCTAAAGTCAGAAATGTCACAATCGGGTTCAATTACAACTCGCTTTTCACCATCTAGAGAAACATCAAAGTCTTTAGGCCATGTTTCGTTCATGTACGAAATTACCCCAGAGAATTTAGTACCAAACACATCTTCGAATAACTTTTCATTGATGATAAAGCGTTTACCCAGCACCAATGATTCTAACTCACCACTATTAGGTGAGATGCATAGATTTGCATAGAACATGCGAACCGATTCGTCAAAAAGCTCAAGACCACACAAAGTAAAAAAGAGAGACATTTTCTGATATTTGAGATAGGAGCTTACCGGGCAGTGCTACTCCCTTAATCTTTCCTTCTCTTTTTGTTTTAAAAATGTTCACTCTTTGTGTACAAAGCTTTATCAAAGATGAAAGAAGATTACAAATAAGTTCAAGTGAAGTTGCGTGCTTCACAAAACTGGCAGAGGAGGTTTTATATAGTGTAAGATCTTATGAGAAACCCAAGGGTGTTTGAGTCAATGATCTTTGATCTTATCCTTGAGTCATTTGTAATTGATATGTTGAATGATCATGTCAATATTAGATATGTGCATAGATCAATTTTT